TAGAATCCTTTTTTTTTTTTTTTTTTTTTTTTTTCCCCCTCCTGCATGATCTTTCCGTTAGCGCGGTGTCGGGATGTCATCATCACTGCCACGTCATCATGGTCACGGACGCATCCAGTTAAAGGATGACGTCATCCTCTTGTTATCATCATGATTCTTATTGTTTATTTCTTAGGATGACGTCATCCTTTTCTCCTCCTCCTCCTCCTCCTCCTCCTCCTCCTCCTCCTCCTGTAAATGAGCACTAACGCCTTCCCCCGCATAGAACGCACGACCAGTACCGCTGTAGCTCGACTGAAAGTCGTCCCAAATACACTGCAGCTCTACTGACCACGCGTTCTATTCGGGGGAGGACGCAAGCATCACCTAATGGCAGGTTAGGTTTTGGACAATGTACTCATCATCATCGGCTCAGATTCCATTTTCCCATTTACCGTTTAAAATTTTATTTAAATTTATTAAACAAAGTTCAGCATATACATATAGCTTTTGCGCTCTGATATTCATGTGACGATATATATCATCACATGAATATATATCACATGATGTCAGAGCGCCAAAGCGAAAAACAGAAACAAGAAAAACTTAATCCATTTTTAATCTTCTTCCTTACAACTCCCCATAATACTATATTATATATATCGTCACAAACATATATGTTCATATATATCGTCATAGCTCCTCGTTCGTTGTCCTCTTCTCCCTCTTCTCTCTACGGTTTACCGGGCAGTTCTATTGGACGATATTTATTTATCTTCATATATATAGTCATTGTCACAAAGTTATCATATCGTATATAAACATATCGTCACATAGATATATATCGTCACAAACAGAACTGCCCGGTAAACCGTAGGCAGAGAGAAAGAAGAGGACAACAAACGAGGGGCTGTGACAAACTGTTTCGTCGGATCCTCCTGATTGATGTAGCCTCCGGATTGATGAGTCGGTGAAACTCTTGACGGAACAGTCTATCACCGCCCCTCCGTTGTTCTCCTCTTCTCCTTCTCTCCCTACAGTTCACCTGGTAGCTCTCTATCGCGACATCATCTCTCAGCATGCCATCATGAAACTGATACGATTTTTTTTTATTTTTTTTTAATACGAATTTTTGGATTTTACTGTAAGACGTGCTGGTGTTTTTTTAACTCTAGGAATATTACTACTGGGAAATTAGTTGGTGGACTTATCATTAGCTAGATTGGGGCGGTTGGCGGTTTTGGGATCCCCATCCCCTAAGACAATGCATCTTTGATGCCTTGGGTATTATCTACAGCTTGTATTCATTTTCATTCATTTCATTTCGGTTGAATTATTGGACTCTGCTGCGAGTCCATCGTAACAATCACAGGAAAAAAAAAAAAAAAAAAAAAAAAAAACCGACCAATTTCATCGTCGGCCCGTCGTCGTCAGCACGATCACAATCATCTTCGTCGTCGTTGTCATTCTTCCCGATTGGGAAAAAAAAAAAAAAAAAAAAAAATCACGACCAATTTCATCGTCGGCCCGTCGTCGTCAGCACGATCACGATCATCTTCGTCGTCGTCGTCGTTCTTCCCGATTGAAAAAAAAAAATAAAAAAAATTAACGACCAATTTCATCGTCGGCCCACTCCAGTGTTTTTTTTTTTTTTTTCCCTCATTATCCTTGTGGTCATGTTCCCGATTGAAAACAAAAAAAGAAAAGAAGAGAAACTCCAGATTGTGCCACGTCATCAATCGCCAGCGGCGCCGTCATCATCGTTAGTTTTGTTGACGTCATCGTGACCCTGGTTTTCTTTTTTTTTTCCCCTCAAAATCCACCTACCGTAGGTTGCTAGTGGTCACCGTGACCCGCGCATAATTCCCCCCTCCCCCTCCTTCCCTCCCCCTACCATCCCCCGCCCACCCCGACCTCATCAAGATCACCATCGTCGTCATCATAACCACCGGTACTTCAGGCGTACCCACAGTGTAGGACCTTCTCAAACGAATCTGGTCGTAACTGCGGTCAGAGTCAATCGACAAAGTGAGGCGTGCTCACAATACATGACTTCCTCCTCTTAACGAATCTAGTCGTGATTGTCGACCAGATACAATCGAAGAGCTCTCGTGCGAGTGCGCTCTTCGCCACCATCGCTTTCCTTGTCGTCCTCGCAACCAGCTATCACAGTCATGACCATCATTTCCTTCTTTTCTTTTCTTTTTTCAGCAATATCCTAATCATCATCCTCATCATCCTCATCATCATCATCATTTCATAATCCTTATCATAATCCTCATCAATCGTCTTTAGCATTACCATTCTCATATAGTCGTGATTGCAACAAAATACAGTTCTTCACACTTTTCAAGCGCGAGAGCTCAACCAACCTTCTTCTTCCATGTCCCACCTCCTCCTTACAGCAGCCGATCACCAACCACGTCCCTCCCTCTCTCTCTCTCTCTCTCTCTCTCTCTCTCTGTGTGCTGCTCTTGCGCTCCGTTCTCACCCGGTCTTAATTCCCACCGCACACCGAGCGCGAACGCTAAGGCCGACTCGTACAGATTTTCGTCACCTTGGGGACGCCGGGCTGGCTCGGCGGCTGGGGTGGGTTGGGGGGGKGGGTTGGGGGGGGGGGGGGGGGGGGCTGATCTGGACCCCCTCCGAATCAGCCGCCGGTTCCCTGAGAGTATACTCGCACTGGGCCCTTATAATTCCCAGAACAGCGAGATCGACGGCCAAATCGATGTGGCCGCTCATTTTGTGATTCTGGGATTATAAGGGCCTACGTAGTGTGAGTATGCCCTGAGTCTTTCACGTTTTTCTATTTTCTTTTAATATAAAATGCAAATACACTCGAAGGGGGGGACTTCACAATTTTACCCCAGACATACTGGGGTCATTACCCAGCTCCAGCTTAGGCTTGGATCCCATAAGGCACTTTCAACAAAAAATTGGACAAGTCCCTCGAGAGATGGGTCAGCACCGTGTGGGTTGTGAAAAGTTTTTTTTTTTTTTTTTTTTCCTACCAAGCAATCTCGCTCCTTTTTTGTTACTCAATTTGGCTTACGGCCCAATACAGCCTGTGAGTCGGTCAAGAACTGCTGCTAATCTATGATGAAGTAAATCCTGCCTAACTAACTCAACCTATCAAATTCACCAGAGTTCCCAAGACAGATCCACCGTACAGAAAAGCACAAACCAATACCAAAAGAGAGGCCCGTTGGACCAGCTAATAGTAGGAGCCTGGGTTGCCGTGACGAGGTTTCCCACCTTGTTCGCAGCCCTTAGGCTGCGGTATAGTGTGCTTCCGCGTCTGTGTCAAGGTGTCGCATTTTCGGTGGCGGGCGACCAGGACGCAAAGTGGGTTCTTAGGGGACAAATGTTTTTTGGGGACCGGTCCTCGGCAAAATTGCAGACTACCTACAGCTAGCTCTTCTATAACCGGGACTTTTGGAAAAAGGAAGGACTGGTCCTCGGGTGGAAGTGGACCCCAAAAAGAAGTGAGGGGCGTTGCACCGGTCCTCGGGTAGAAGCGGACCCCAAAAAGAAGTGCGGGCATGTGAACTGCAAAAGGGCCCTCAGGCCCAGGCATTGAGCCCCGTCTTCTCAAAACAGGGAGGTCAGGCACAACGAAATAGGCGTTTTGCAAGAGGCAATTGTCTACCGCGTGGGCGCGGGGAACGCAGCCCCAAGGTAGCCAAATCAATGAGACTAAGAGCTCGCACAAGAGAGAGAGAGAGAGAGAGAGAGAGAGAGAGAGAGAGAGAGAGAGAGAGAGAG